TTAAAATATCCCGGAGAGATGCCGTACCTTAGCGATCCAATTTTCGTTCACATTGTTCGACCTCGGATCGAGTATTCACGGAATCGATTCGAATAAGCGTTGAGGTGTCTCAAGTCGGAGATCATCAGGACATTGGATGAATTATTCCCTCGGTAGACTGACGCTTAGATAGCCGTCTCCCTCCTAATCCGTTTATCTCCGTTTGGAGATCGCACGTCGGACCCCGAACAGCCGAGGCGCGGAAGAGCTCCGACAGGTCGACGCGTGCTGACTCTCGCGAGATCCGGCCGCACGGCGCTTGCTAAAAATCTACAGGTGATCATGAGAATAAGACGCTTGGGAGAAACGACGCAACGGTTCGAACGGACGGCCAGAACCAGACCGGACCTGTGCAAGGCGACTCTCAAAATGAATACGAGTTTCTCCACAGAGCGTGACCCGGAGCTTACGCAGCCAAGGAGCCAATGGATACGACTGACTGGTTTACTGGCTTCGAATTCATGGCAAGCGAGCCACCAAATAGGATGTCGACCGTCGGCGCTCACCCGAACCGGGAGCCTTACCGCCGACATGAACACCTGAAGGCGAGCGCACGACGGCCGGATAGCTTGCAAGCCAATTCCCATATGCGTTTTTTCATTGCTCAAACGTCCGCTGGTTCTTTCATATGGACCTCAGGCAGACGCGACTCGGTCAGGCGAGAAAGAAAAATGATCGCTGGATCAGATAGGGGAGACTGCCGTCTTAAATACATGTCGCTCGCCATCTTGGAAATAAAGGAAGAGGACGTCGACGACGAGGACGAGGAGAGTGGAAAAAGTCTGAGCGGCTGCAATCGAGAGTGAGCGCCTTCGTGGCGAAAAGCGGAGCGTTCACTCTGAGGCCGATAGAAATGAGGGGACCGGCCGAGAATAAAAATGAACGGGAAGATCTTCCTCTAGAGAGGGAGCAGTCCCCTCAGAGAGGAACAGGTCAAATTTTTAGAGTGAACGAGGGCGAACATCCCACCGTTGTCAGTGTCCGTCCCGTTCTGCCTTGCGACTCGTTGTACTCCGTCCGAAGTTCCTTGTTCACTTATTTCCGCTCCATGGCTCCTCAATCTCAGTCCAGCCTGCGTCTCAATAGGTCTTCCTCGCATCCTTCCGCTCGCGAATTACCCTCTCAAGTTTTCTACTTTCCCGTAGCTACCGGCGGAGGCTGTTGTTTCAATGAGCTGGTCAACGACACTCCAGGGAAGGTCTCGGTGACGGGAGGGTCCGAGTGAGAGGGACGAACGGAAATCTCCTTTCCTCGGGGACTGATTTGACGTTGAAGAGTACAGATCTCGCTCCTGAACAAATAGTCTCACATGAGAACGAACGATGTTGCCGCAGACAGGTTTCATTGGACAAACTTTTCCCTGTGATTCTCCCCTTGTCGACAGCTCGGCAAACTCTTCGAGGATCTCGATGGAGCTGCGCTTTACCCGTCGTAAAAAAATCTCGTAAAATGAAGCGTCAGCGTGAGACTCCGAACCCCGGTCGTCTTCGACGACAGGAATTTTTCGTGGCACTCCACCAAGGAACATGGAATACTCGTGCGATAGATGTGGAATTTCGGAGTGTGGGAGTTGCCAGCTCTCGATTACGGCCAGATTTCCACAGACCCTAGACTCGCCGGTCCCGAAAAAAAGGAGAAGGGCGAGCGAGCGCATTCGAATCCCACGATGACCTTCCACTGGTCAGCTATCGCAATCCTCCAATCTCCCCCACGTTCATCGGCGAGGATTCCTCAGAAAAGCGGCAACTTCAGCGGTCCGGTAGGAGGAATAGTGAAACCTTCGGACTTCAGGCCAGAGCTGCCCCTAATTTGCTCAAGAGATTGTGAACGTGACATATTGTACCGTATGGACTCTCGTATTCTCCGCGTGGCAAGAGTATCTGTTGCATCATCCTTCCCGGAAATTTCGATTCCGTAAGGTCACACCTGCTTCCCATCCATAGCGAGATGGAGCTTCCGATTCAGGAAATCCGGAGAATTTCCGGACCGACATGTGTTCTGAGAAAACTTCGTTGCTCTCTCCGCTCGCATTCCAATTACCCGAGGTCCTTGATTCCGATTCCCATATTTGAGTCTGAGCCTGCGTATCCATGATTAAATGGGAACTCTTGAGAGAACGCTGTCGCGATCAGGAAACAAGGAGAGGCGCCACAGAAGAGTCCTGATCCGTCAAGAGCGTTCAAGTCAGGAATTTTCTACGGTTCCGATAGTGCCAGGGCCTACCCGACGACCTTCGGCCTAGGCTGCTACTCGTTGCGTGAATTGTGGCGCTAAGGCCAGATCTATCTTTGATTCTGCTGAAATTCGTGAAAAGTGACATCACATGCCACGAGTCCCAGATGCTGTGCAACTCGGCTAAATCAGACGTTGGAACAATCAGAACAGCTGCCACTACTCATATCGTGGTGAATGCTTACAGCGAGTCGCGGTCGTGCATCTGTTCCCGAAACTCTGGCTAGAATCGCGGCTCACGTGAAAACCGCCAGACAACGTACATATGTGAACAAATCTGACGTATCATATGGCAGATGAGCGGATCATGGAAATCTTTCGACAGCTCGTGGCGAGCCTACGAAAAGTAAGCCGGATCATGGTGCGACCTGGAATTCATCCGTGCTCGCCATTGTTTTCATCAAGAAAACGCAATTTACGTGAGATCCGCTAGTTGTTTGCGGCTCTCAACTATCTATTTGCGAGTCGGAAGTAGATCACGAGAGATCCTGAATCTGTTTTCGCGTAGGATCTGTCGGCTGACGTTCCCGAACAGACTGACGATGAAACAGATTTTTCCGGCTGCGACAACATCCAACGCAGCGACCTCCTGACTCCGTATCAACGTCGATGAGATCGAGCGCGACAGGTGTGGCTCGAGTTTACCTTGGCAAGGGACGAGTCATCGAGCACTCCGGAGAGCATGTCGGAATTTCAATTCTAACAAAAAAGCACTCGATCCACGGCTGGATACTACACGAGAATGGTGCTTATGCTCTCGCTCACTCAGAGAATCGAATATAATGCGGAAATCTATCTCTCGATATTATTTTTGTCGCATCGTCTCACGACGCTGATAGTGCAGAGCGAAAGTCCCTTGTTGTGATGACACGATGTTGTAATGGCTTCTCCGTTTTTCCGAAATCTGGACGGATCGTTTGCTTGGAGGCGTTCTCGGACGGAATAGCGGAGACAATGTATCCTGCAGCTAAACGTGATCTTATGGAGACTTGCTCAGAATCTCCGTGAGAGCTCGAGGCTCTGAGGGAGAGAGCTTCCGGCGGGCAGACGAAACGGGGCATGTGCTTTTCCTCGAGCCAGTGCACACCGTAGGAGCTGCTCGGAGAGGCATATCCACTGACTGACTGGCTGGCTGGCTGACAGACTGACTACCAGCAGACCGGCAGATAGACTGAAAGAACGAAGGAGCGAACCAACCACGACGAATCGCTATTACGGTGCTAGCCGTAGTAGTCCAGATGGTGCTCCAGGCGGCACTCGCGCACCGAACGACAGTAGCCTACTGCGCGGTCACCGTTCGCCGTTGATCGTAGCAGATTCGTTGACGGCGCAGCGCAACCCCGTCAGGTCCTAGTCTTCGAGCAGCACTTGAGCTCCGCGCGTGCTCCGGGGCGCACCGCCGCTCTGTCGGCGCTGTTCGGTGGCTTCAGACCGTGATTGCAGGAGCGCCTTCAGTTTTCCCCCGAGCTCCGGCGATTCGTCTGCGAGGCAGAGGACTCGACGACGCTCTCTCCGTCTCCGAGAAGTGAACGTCTACGGAAGATCGAGTTTCGGCGGCGCGCGGATTTCTGCCGAGAGAGAGCAAGAAGAAGCCTCAGCGAAAGTGCGGAGTGGCCCAGAGTCTCCTCGGGAGAGGAGCCGACGACGACAGACGTGACGCGGCTCACTTCAGTGACCAATGCGGGAAAGTCAACTCGCATGCTAATTGGAACCGCGAGATTTCCCTGAGCCTGACTCAGCTCATCGAGTGTGCGCTTGATGACCCGACCGATGGAATTTGTCAAGGAGCAGGCAGAAAACGTTTCCCGCCATTACCGATTCTCTGGATAGGGAGAACGTTTTGTTCGAGTTTCACTTTCCTGACCACCTGTTATTGGGGGAATTCTGCGCCCGTCGTCATCATCAGTCGAAAGCTACGCTCCGAGTGCGATCGAAAGAGGCTGTGTGTTCACCTGGGACAGTGCTGGCTCAGCGGCTGCGGCTTACTGTGCATTCCGAACTCGGGGAAGTTCTCGTCGAGCTCATCACCTGTCTGGATTAACAGTTTCGGGATAATCCATTTTTGGCTCCCGTGCAAAAAAACTTCCATCGTGGGATCTGCGAGAGGAGAAACTCTTATCTCCGAGTTCAACGTGAAAGGTAAACATCGGCAAACGGAAACTCCATTCACACATACGGCATATTGTAAGCAGGCGCCCTCGATCCCAATGGAGTTCCGCCTTTGGAAATATCGGAGAAATTGATCCGCTCATTAAGCTGAATTTTTAGCGGAGCTGTTGATCATTCATGTCGAACCACGTGACAACTTTTGCGCTCGATTTTGAACAAATGTATCTGTGTCTTAGAAGTAAACTTAGAAGTCGGTCGTGATCGCGATAGACTCTCGGTGAGCGGTTGGCCGGCCTTCGCTACCGCACTCGATCTGTTCCCGGCTGGTCCAGTGGAGAAGTCGGAGAGGCTTCCACAGGCTCACGTCCGAACGGATGTCTCTAATCGAGCGATTCAATAAAACGTGAATCTCCGCGAGCAATGACTTCGAGTTCAACAAACAAGAGAGCGATGTTCTAGACAAATGGCGTCGCTTGATGAAACACAGATGCACAAGTTGTGGCCGAGGCTGCAACAACAGAAATAGCGGCGGCCGACAGTGGCGGCCGCAACGCGCTAACTCATAGCCAGACGTTGAAGAGTGTCCAACCGTTTCGCTGTTATTTCAGAACGTGACCGGAATGGCTCTCTGCTCCGTCAAGGACAGCAAATCGACATCTGATCAAATTAGGCATCAATCGGATGAAGACTCCGGAGTGGAATTCGGCCAGTCCCCCCTCCTGGAGGTAGCGTGCATCAACCATAGGAAGAAGCTCTCACATTCCAAGAAACGAAGCCTCCTCGCTCTGCGCAAGAGCTTGTGCAGCGACTCCGGGATCAGTGACCACGAGCGACCCGCATCGCGTGATTCGTCTTCCAGATTGCCCTCGAGCCCGGAAGTCTCTTGCCTTGACCTCACTTTGAAGGACACCTTGCTGAGCGCAACGAAACGGAGCGCCATCGATGATTCTTCAGACGTCGACACCTCGGACCAGTTACCGCCGATAAAGAAAGAAAAAGCCGATGGCGACCTGGTTGGGGACGACAGGACGGTGATCCGCCAACGGAGGATTGAAGCTAACGCTCGAGAACGGACCCGGGTCCACACGATAGGAGCCGCTTTCGACTCCTTGCGAAAATCTATTCCCGCCTTCTCGGACGGCCAGAAACTCTCGAAACTCGCGATCCTCCGCGTAGCGAGCTCCTATATTCTCGCCCTGAGTTCCCTGCTGGAGGATCAGAAGGAGAGTTTCGCCGAAAGTGTACAAGCGTGCTCCTCGGCTATACATTTGGATGGCAAAATACGTCGAAGATAACAGCGCGGACTCCGAGAAGTATCCTCATCCCCACAGAGCTCATTGGAACTGAATATTGAAAGTACCGGAACCCGTCATCAGAGCACAAGCGTTTTTTAAGAAGGCTCTTCCGTCGTCCGTAGTCCGATGAGCGACTACATAGTCCCAACATACTTCTTGTCTTCGAGCCGAGCAATCGATCCGGAAGGACACATTACAAGCCTCGTAAATTGTCACAAGAGCTGACTCGTGCCAAGGACACACCAAAGGTCATTCATCCATCATCTAACAGCTGACAGAGCGGATCAGAGGATTTTTCCCTCTCCAGGGAGTGAGAGGAATCATTGTTGGAAGCGTTGTCGAGGGAGCAAAGTGAGAACTTTTATCTTATCGTTGAATATTTATACCCTTCATCCTAAAAATCAAAAGAAGAATCAATAAGCATTTTGAATCGATTTCTCTTGTCATTTTTTCGATCGAGCGGGGGAAGCCCTAGGATTGGACGGAAAGACGGAGATCAGCTTCCGCCTGAAAATCAGACGGGAAAAGCTTCGTCAAACCTTCGTGTCGGAAAATTATCTAGGTGTTCACCGATTCGAATGGGTCTTGGCGCGGTATAGTCCGGAGGGGAGATCTAGCTTTTTATTACCGGTACCATTTGTCTCGTTCTCTATCTCATGGTCCGCAACGTAAATCAGCATTCCCAATTTCGGCATCTGGTTTTTCGTCGGCAGGGATGATGTTCCTCCAAAAACGGTTAGGAAAGCAGATGTCTGCAGCCACACGTAACTCGGACGGCGGCACGTTTTCACATGTTCGAGCACCAATGAGAGACATTGAGCTGTGCCCGCTCTCCGATGGCAGCAGGCAGCACACTTTACGATCCTCCATCCAGAGTTCTCAGGCGACAAAGGGGAAATTGGGCCTGAATGACAAAGGCTAGAAGTCAGCCCGTTCTTCGGATAACTTCCGCCAGAATTCTCGCCTTGTTCTTTCTCGCATTCCATGGAGACTGTCCCGGGAAATCAGGGTGAATCAGTTCGCTGCTCGGGCGGATATGTTCGTTGCTCGGGGCGGATATGTTCGTCTTTCGTTCCGCGAATTCCGCTCCATGGATAGTTCAGCATCCGACGGTTGAAGCCGAATTCCGACGCCGTCCGGGACACAATTGGTTCCATCATGTCGGAAAATACGCCCAGAACTGCCTGGGATCCCCTACTGAAAATGCTCCACGTCGTCCTCGAATCGGTGGAGCATCTTCAGCGTGCGCGGGAAGCCTCTCTAGCGACCGGCCTTTCATTGGAACGAAACTGTGTAGGGATCCGACAAAGTGAAAAAATATATCCCCAAGCCACGACCACTGTTCCCTGGAGCGAGTCCCGAGGTCATCCGGGACAGGCATACCGTGCGAGAGCCAACAAAAATAGCCCACTGCAATCGTTGAGACAAAGCAGGCTTCAAGAAATGCGCCTGCTCTGGTTCCCGTTCCGGTGGCGCTCGTGCGAGGCCAGCTGTCCTCCGGCAGAAACGATCCGGAACTCGGTACTGACTTCGCTGCCGGTGCTGGTTCAGATGCCACAGCGCACTTGAAGAAGAACAAACCAGATGGTGCTTCACTTCGGTGTCTTTCGCGTACCTACCTCGTATGCGGAAAGGTGGCCGTCCGACAGCGCCATGAAGCCAGCCAAGAAGACAAGCCTCAACAACAGGTGCATTTAAAACCGGCGGCGACGGAATTCTGAAGTGAGGCAGACGGGAACTACGACTCACGCACCGGTAATGACGTAACCATTGAATGATCCACGGCTCGTGAGAGTGTGCAGAGCACGTGCTCACGGAATAAGGACGTCAAGACGCTGTAGTTTTTTTTTCAAGAAAGCCGTCTTCAAGATGACAAACGCTCCAGCTCATCCCCAAAATTTTTTCCCCGCTTTTCTTCACTGAATCTGGAGATACCTCACTCCAGAGTTCAATTTCGAACTCACGAACGACTCGGACTGAGCTCGCGATGATTCACGAAGAAGGACTCTCATCCCTCAGCTCGATCGTCTTCGTTCGAAGTCCAATCGGCTTTGAACGAACATCCGTCTGAGCCATAGGTTGAGTTTACCTGATTTTCGGCTGGGGAGTGCAACATCGGGCTCCGGTCCAGGTGAAGACCCACTCGGTGAGATCCACTTCTTCCGAAGGTGACAAGTAACTTGAACCCAGGTTCATGTCAGCGGTCTCTCGTCCGACAGTCGCGATGATTCACTGCCAATGACAATCAGCTAACGCGGAGCACTCGAGTCAGATTATGATCGTGGGAGATCTCCGGAAGCACCATACCAAGTAGAAAAACTTTATCACCCATACAGTGTCTGGGCTGATGGATCTTAGTCTGCAGTCGGTGAAGATTTCTGATGCTTAACTTGTCGAACTCTGCACCGCGATGCTCCGGATTCTCGGGGATCGCTCTATCGCCGAGACTTGCAGCAGCGCACGGATCGTTGTCAATGCGGAACGTCGCGGCCGTGACAGAGAACGTGAATGGAATCGAACATCAAATTGCATTCTTGGGGGACGCTTGCAGGGAAGCTCAGGAGGCATGCAACCGCCATGATTGTTTTGGCCCGATGGAGAGGGAACGACCCCAAACCGAGAGGAAGGGACTCTCGGGAAACTCGGCGGGGTGAAGAATGAGCGGCCGGGGGAGAATCCCTCGAGTCTCCGATGCACGCGGATGAGCGGGGGACGATTGCTGCCACTGCTGCTGCAGCTCCTGTCGATCCACGCGCTACGGTGGCGGTCACGGGCGAGGCCTGGTCCCGTCGGGATCGCGAAAACCGAAATTCCCCATCCTCTCCTCGCTGAGAGGGATTCGTCGAACATATCGAGGAATTCCAACCGATTTCATCCACAAAGCCTCCTTGGTCATGTCCGGCTCCGTTTCTCCGAGATATGGGGCAACGAATTTTCTGAGCGTGTCGAAGAAATCTGGCCGAGGAGACGTATTCGGCCCTTTCAAGGATTGAACCGCGCCGGAGCGATCGATGCGAGAGACGGCAGAGAGAGAATTTATCGACCCCCTTCTACAAAACCCCTCAAAATGGGCTAGTGAGCACCAGCCACCGCGGAAGCGCTCTCCGGTCGGTGAGAACGGCAATGACGGTGCTCATCGGGCGGGAGCCCTCGTAACTACCGAAAATTTACATATTAATTCGAATTCTTCACTTAGGAGATCATTTCCGTCTCGGACTGCTTCTCGTGGGGAGATGTTTCTCCCGCAGTCGGGCGATTGCGTCCGAAAGACGCGGTCGGTGAAACACTCTGGAAACGGATGCCTCAAAACAGACCGCACCGAGCACGGTCGGGAACATTCCGCCAGTCTCACTCGATAACATTGCCAAGATTCAGAATTTTCAATTTTTATCCTCGCACGCGGAGCCACGAGCAGTTTGTTCGAAATGGAGCTTGGCTTCCTAATTGCAGGCATGCGAAGGATTAGCGGCTAGCGCAGTTCGTGCCTCGAGCTAGTTTGAAGTTCAGCTATGGTGTATCAGATGATCGTTAAGAAAAGTCTTGCTCGGCGATTGCGCCCCGAATTCTGCACTTCCAACAGTAAAATGGAGAGCACGCAGCAATAAATGAGATGAATGTATCTTACTAACTAGCAATGGCCCCGCCGCCGTTCACGCGTCATTTACCAGGCAATACCGCTTTGTAACGAGAAACTAGTTAACAACGCCAGCTCACCCACCCGCCCGTCAGCTCTCCGTTCATCCCGCCGGCACGGCCGCTACATGATTGCGACGTCAACAACAACAACAGCAGAAGCCGGAACAACAACGACACGAGCGGGATTGCCGGCGGAGGGGAGAAGTTCACGACGGAGAGCGGAAACAACTTCAAGAAACTATCAATTTCCTCAACGAGCACGGGGTACCATCACCGCTTGCCATCGTCCCACTGTGAACCCTTTTCTGCCCGGAGCTCGAGGAACAGCTCGCACTAGGCGAGCGTCGCAATTAGGAAAACCAGATCTGGGGAAGATGTCTCAAACTAAGTCTACGGATTGATGTTCACCGGATGAACCGCGGTTTCGCACACGAGGGGCGCGGCTCGCTGAGCACCAGGCTCTTCACCGTTGGAACTGGAAATCCCCGTCAGGGACTGATGGGAAGAGATCATCATCGAACGTTTTTCCGTGACTAAGTGTTTTCGGACCTAATACATTCCCATTGAGGAAGGCCTGGAGTCCAATCCAGATACGCAAGGAGCAGTAGATTTTCCCGATTGCTCCCCCTTAGCCTCGACGATTCAGTTCAATGCGATCACGGATGAAGCCAATCCAAGCCTAGAGATATCTATCCTCGAAGTAGAGCTCGACGCCGCTTTCTTCTCGAAATCTTCGTGTAATCCTCTCTCCAGTGTTTCTGAAGCCATTCGCTGCGCAGAAATGGGGGCCCTGATTGGTCGCGGTGGGGTATCTGCTCGCGAATTCTTCTGCTTGCTGTGCGCACGCCAATATTGATGACTCCGAGACGTGACCGAGAAGCCGAAAATGGTGAGAAAGCAACGAGGAGATTTTCAAAATGGCTCCCGGAATCCTCTGCGATCAGCTAAAACGGGGCTCTCATCGGAGAAACGAGATCGAGCACAGTTGCTGGCTCGACCGTTCCTTCTCTGTTAATGGCTGGAAGCGCTCGTCGGGGCGTTTAGTCTTGGCGCAGAAGATTGAGTGTACGAGAATTATGAGCGTTCGGTTCTCCAGGAAATCGATTCCCTTGAAAATTTTGAATCGCGACTAGATTGAGGCGGCTGCACCTCAGATGATGTTCGCGGGGGCTCACCTGAAACTGATAAGATGAACTGTGTTATCCCTAAAGTATTATGCTCATGAACGAGGGCTGCTCGTATAAAAATAAATGCCAAGGCATGGCATGGGAACTCGAAGAACTCGCGAACTATTTTTTTCGGAGAGAAATTTCCAGGAAAATTCCGGAATCCAGATCTCAAGATGTCGTCTCGAACCCACCCCC